CCTCGAAAATAAACGGCCAATTAATAACTTACGCTATCTTTGATTTATATGATTGCACTTTTAATTTTAGATATTTTAATATGTGTAAGGTTTTAGTGTTATTAATTTTAATTTTTTATATTTAATTTCTGTAGTTTTTAAAATCTTTAAATAAAGTTTTGATTCTAAAATCAAGACTTTTATTGTATTTTATAGATTTTATTTTGTATTCATATTTAAATATTTTATATATTTTTTTACTTATTTGTATAAATTCATGAAATGTCATACTTTAATTATATTTTTATAAATTATTAGGTAAAATTTTAGAATAGAAAACTTAATTCGAATATTTTTTAAAAAATTAAAAACTAAATGCGAACAATTAAAATTAGAGAAAAAAAATGGTACATATGTTCAATATAGAATATAAAAGTGTAATTAAGTCATGATTTATTATTTATGTGATAGTTAACGGTGATTTATCTCAACTCATCTATTAATTTTTATTTTTATAATTAATGAAAATTAAATTTATCCTAAGAATAAATGTATTGAACTGCTTAAGCTACTAAAATCTTTATGTTATGTTATCTATAAAAAGAAAAAGAATTGTTTATGCCCTGCCCAGTGAAGGAATTACGAGCATATACAGACAATCAGCTGGAAAATAATTTGTTTGGTTCAGTTATAGGGTGGATAGATAGTAACTTACTTGGATTCTATAATTTGACACTTAGCTCGCTCTCACGCATGTGAATACTTGTGAAAGGATTAATCATATACAGGAAGAAATATGGGCGTAAATTTCGTGTCATGGATCCTCGTTATTTATCTACTACTAATCCAGGTATATTAAATCTTTTGTTTTTCTTGCAACTCTGTTTCTTGGTTAATTTCTTTGACAAGGAGCAAGCTGAAACAGTTTGTAAACAATAAGATTTTCTATGCCCCTTTCCTTCTCTAACCCAAACTGAACTCTTGCAGTGTTCCTATGGAGGCCGAGCCAGGGAATTGGCTGGAAAAGAAAACAAATTGTTGGAAATTGCACATGAAGATGTTCACAACGTCTCTAGTAATATTCAAGATATATATTCTGGTCTCACTCATGGACAAGCCATGGATAACCCAAATAAGCTAGGCGATAATGATGATATTGGAAAACACATTGATCATCATGAACATGAACACTCACATGCTCATTTCACGACTCATATGGACCATATAGACCCTTCACTATTTGTGTTCTTCACTTTGAAAGATTTAAGGGTAGGGAAAAGAATGCCCATTCATTTTCCCAAGAGAGACCCAGCAAAGTCCCCCAAATTGTGGCCCAGAGAAGAAGCTGATTCTGTTCCTTTCTCATCAAACCAACTACCGTACCTTCTCAAACTCTTCTCCTTCTCTCCAGACTCTCCCCAAGCCAAGGCCATGGAAAACACACTAAGGGAATGTGAGACCAAACCCATCAAAGGAGAGGTCAAGTTCTGTGCCACCTCTTTAGAATCCATGCTTGACTTTACCCATAACATACTTGGGTTGACCGCTGATCTCCAAGTTTTTGCCACTTTGCACCAAACCAAGTCAAGTGTCACTTTCCAAAATTACACCTTCTTAGAAACCCTCATGGAAATTCCAGCTCCCAAGATGGTGGCTTGTCACACTATGCCTTACCCTTATGCTGTTTTTTACTGTCATAGCCAAGAAAGTGGGAATAGGGTATACAGGGTTTCACTAGCTGGTGATAATGGAGATAGGGTGGAAGCAATGGTGGTTTGTCACTTAGATACCTCCCAATGGGCACCCAATCATGTTTCGTTTCAAGTGCTTCGGATCACTCCGGGAAGCTCCTCTGTGTGCCACTTCTTCCCAGCGGATCATCTCATATGGGTCCCCAAAGTACCATCCTACGGTTCTTCAAGCGTGTGACTTGTAGTAGTAGCACATGCTTAAATGTGTACCTTAATGATGTCAAAAAATTAATGTACTGTACGCAGAGCTAAATAATGTAAAATTTTTTACATATATGTAAGAGAGTCTCTGCCTCGTAATTTTCAATCCCCATGTTTTTCAATTTCACTTCATAAGTGTATATGTATATATAGTCTGTTTGGTTTGTACACAAAGCAAACGTTACACTGTTTTCAAGATATAAAAAACGTCCGTTGAGATTATTTTTCGAAGTTAAAAATTTCGATCCTCACTAACTTTGTTTCCTATGGAGTAACAAAAGGCTGCTAATGAGGGATAGAAAGAGAAGTATCTTCAAGTGTGATAAATTAACTAAACCACATTTCACATTCAAGCTGTACAAGCTTAAATTTATCATTATTTTTGTGACCTGTAAAATGGGAACTGTATTTCATAGGACTTCTCAACATTTTGAATGCAACGTTTTGATTTGCATTGGCCTAGAGTGTTGTCAATATTTTGAAATTTTCATGTAAATGACTTTTAAATATGAATATAATACAAGATAAGCTATACACTATATACCAAAAGCTTTTTACGTGTAAAAATCAACTTTTAATAAAATTCTGCATTCGGTTAAATAAAAAGTAAATATAATGAAATTCAAGTTATTTTATTTTAGTCTCCCAATGTGTATTTTGTATATGCATGCCTTTTGCTGTTACAGTGCACATTTTTTTTTGGTCAAGGTAGATCTCATGCACCCCTCTGTGTATCCGCATGGGCAACCAAGGTCTAGTTGAGAATTCAGTCATGAGGCCCAATAGGCCTAGTTTGAGGAATGATTTTAGATTTTTTTATTAAATTTCAATTATGCCGTTCACTTATAACATTGGGCCCAAAAATAAAAAAACCTGTAACACTTGGCAAATATTTAATGTTTATTACGAAATTTGTTAGGCTGTCAAATTACTATTGAATATATAAAACCAATATACACATGCATTTTTATTGTACTCTTCGTAGTTTTGTACTTGTTAAATAATAATTTTGGTTTGGTTGTAGGGAAAAAGAAAGTTAGAACAAGGCTGGCGGTTTGGTTTACCATTGTGTAGTTTGGTCTCTGGCTTACGCCCAACGAAGGAGTCTTTCGAAACAGCACTTCTAAAGGTTGAAGGATATGGCTCACATGGTTCGGTGGTATTCAAAAGGTAGTGTTCCTATCCAAAATATTTCAACGCCTAAATAAGTTTGGTCAGAATAAAGATATAGCATCATGAAATAGCATGTCTGAATCAAAGGGTTCTTCTTGTACATTAGTGTCATTAGTCAATGTGGTTTTATTGTGATGTGTACCTAACCCTATAACCCTTTTGATATAAAAGTGTGTCAATACATGATGCGCTTAATAAAGCTAATAATATGTCAAGAGTGTTAAAGTTGTGATGTCAGATAGTAAAAAATGCTCGAGTAATGGCTGATGTTGAGGGTTGTAATTGAATTTGAGATTAGGTTAAGCAGTGGGTTATCTGGTTAGATAGTCTATGACTGATATAAACTTCATAACCACAATCAATGATGAGTTTGACATGTATTCTCATTTACACTGAATTCGGACGAAGTGGCAGTAGTAAGACAGTTTGATCGAGGTCAGTATTTTACTTTGAATCCGTATTGGAATTAAATTTCTGCAAAATAGGTGGATCCAAAGCACCTTTCTCTCAATGGTGGTGCTAATTCATTGGAATGTATTAAACTTCTGTCTTAGAATTTGAAGTATATGCTGATTAATTGTAAAAGGGGTTTGACTACCCTTAAACTCTCTTAATAATGTTCTATTGCCTTAAAAAAAACATAATTTTGATGTTTATAATAAAGTAAAAATATTTCATGACATTAGATGGTTGCGACTAATGTGATATAATAAAATTTCTTAAACAGCAAGTAAGAATCTCTTCTGCTTATGTTACTCCGTTGACTATCCAGACATTAAGACACGTTTACCACGTTCAACATATTAAACCGTCAAATACCCTCATCTTTGGGTGCCCGAATGTCAATGAACTGCCGATAAAAACAATGGGTAGTTTCATGTCCATGTGTGTTGACGGCGCTGAGCAAAGGGAAATTTACAGCGACTTAGAAACTCTTCTGGAATGGTAGTGCTAGAAAATAAGGATACAGATGTACTATAAGACTTAAGATACGACATTGGGATAAAATACGAAATCATAAGAAAATGTAAAAGAGGACACAACTATAGATATAATATATAGATTTAATAGTAATTCAAAACACAAATCTCAAAGTAAAATAGATAATTAATGTTTTAAAAATAAATATTAATATAACGTAATAAGATACTATATTTTGTCCAATTATTGTGATAATATTAATATAAACGTTTAATTTATAAAAAGAAAACATATTGTAAGCAGGAGTATTCAAAGTGTAAAATAAATGCGTGACTGTTTTGTAGTGTTGGGGTTTTGTTGATTTCTTCTATATATATATATATAATAATTAATTCATGTAGGAGGAGACAAGGAATCACTGAATTGATTTATACGGCGCATCAGCCATCTAGCATCTCATTCCAAAGGGAAATTAGCAATTCTAACATCACCCTCAGCAAGATTAAAATGCATTCTTATTATACTGAGAATGACTACTGGCAATGGTTTTAAGTTTTATGATCACATCTTTTCGTTTGAAAATATATTGAGAAGGAAATAGCCGAAAGCTACAGTAGAAACGTTGTCATAATTATTAGTCATAAAAGCCATCCCATTTTTGAGAGAATTCTCAACGGTTTGGGAGTAAAATATGCTTAAGAACTTATCAAGAGAACCCTGACAAGATACATCATGATTATTATAAATTGTTAAAATTTCTGCAGGACCCAAAATCAGATGCAGCGAAGAAATGATAACTGGATAACCACAAAGACTACAGACATATCTATAACTAAAGGGTTCAGGATTTTATTAAAATATAGGTTTTACTTTGAAACATTTCCAGCAAAATAAGCCTCAAACCTAATCACTATCCCAATACAAGATACTATACATCATAATCTCTAGCGGTCACATTTCATCTAGGAATATGTGTATCTATATATGGGAGCTTCAACCATGGCATCTCGCTTCAGACTTGGTTCTTGGCTAAAGGCTTATGCTTCTCCTTCATGGGCACAACATGGGTATGGTATAGTATGACATTAGGCTTTACATCGAAGTCCCTAATAAAACGATCCTTCCCTGCATATGATGCTTGTGGATCCCCAATAAGGTCTTTAATTGCTTGTGGCATGGGTTGGCCCTTCATCGTATTGTCCCAATAGCCTCCTAGGTCTTTTCTTGCACAACTAAAGTTGGCAACCTATGATCACATAAACATTTTAAGGTTTCAGTGTGAAGAAAATTGGAAACGTCATGTAAACAATTGCTAAACCCATTGATTCAAATTTCAAAAGAAGTTAACTTGAATGGAATTAAGAAATTTCCGATATAGCTTGAATTTTGGTAGAGCAGATTCTGAAAGCTTACCAGGAGAAGAGAGAACACAATGAACACAGCAAAATTGGACTTCATGTCTATGCTAATCCGTGGACACTTTGTTACCGTTGTTAGCCTCTGGATATGTCTTTAGGCCATAAGTGATCCACGATGAACACGTATTTATGTTTATATCATATCATAACAGTTGAAAAACATTAAATATTACAACTAATGACATTATTTTTTTTCAGGGTCCAAACGGTGGGTGGGCAACGATAAAGTGCCCGTAACCCGTAAGCACGCAAATTTGATTTCTATTGTTCACGCACACGACACATAATAGAAACAGGTTTGACCGACAAAGGAAACGACAAGTTTGTTAGTCGTCTATATGCACAGGGTTTTTATTAAACTTAAAAGTCACATTTATTGCTATCAAAAATAAAAGTCGCATTCTTTCTCTTTATTATTTTAAAAATTAATTATACATGAAACTATTCTTAATTCAGCCCTTGTTATTATATATATATATACACATATATAGATAGATTAAATTTAAGTCTCTACACGTTCCCTTTAAAATTTTAATTTTTTTAAGTTTTATTGTTGTTGTATGAACTGAGAAAAATTGAATAAAAACGATTTTATAGTATTTGTAAAAATATGCTTATTCACGGAATTATCCAAGCAACTGGAGACCCCATCAACTGGTTCCACATGTTTTGCAAAAGTCATAGCAGCAGTTCATCACAATTCTTTGTTATATTTTATATTAAAACTTTCAACTTTGTTAAAGTTAAAAATATGTCAGATCTATTATGCTTTTTGCTTTGTTGTTCTTAATTTTTTTAGCATTAAACTTAATTAACTAATCTACTACTTTGTTCAACTTAAGTGTGATGATTGTTATCAGTGAAATCATGGGTCAACAATTGTATGCTGTCCTGCGGCACAATTGCAAAAGGTAAGAAAAAAAAAACGATACAATGCACAGAAAGAGGGTTACTCGGTTTAGCCAACATAAAGCCATTAATTATACACAAAATGTGGCTAGTGGTTCATAACAAACAAACAAACAAATAGTTGATTATATATGAATGACAAGCAACATATGGTCCTCTAAGAAATTTAGACAGGTTTGTATTTTTGAGATTTGGGTTCACTGCAGAACCATCCTTTGAGTGCGACGCATAAAATAGTCAATTTCGAGAACATATTTTGACACGTGGTTTATTTATAATCAAACAAAATTCAAGTACATTATTATAACTATTTTTATAATTGTTTTTTGGTTAAAATTTTATCTTGATAATATGTAATATTATCATTTTTATTAAAATAAAATTTTGATTTTAATTAATTTCTTAAAACACAATCCTTTATAGTGTGACCAGTTTGCATATGTGTAATAACTAGGAGTCTGTATTTGCCCCAATTTCAGAATCGATTAATTAAGCTGAAATCAATAGTTTTTTTAACTATGTTCAGGGCTCTAAATGTTAATGTTCAAAAATTTTATGAAAATGATTCTATTCAATTTTTACAAATGATGCTTAACTCATGGGATGAGGCAGGTAGAATCACAAAACATCAAAAGCTCAGTGTCTTTCTCTACCTTCTCAAATGAACAGCGCCAATCTAAAATGGAATAAAGGCCGCACGTGTAGCCCCATGTCATCAAAAGGTGTTTTGACCATAATAATATAATTTCATAAATTACTTATTAAAATACATCAATTTAATAGTGTCAAAAAATACTGAGTAAAATTAGAATGCATAATTCATGTTTTGACCATAATTCTAATATATATTAGAATGCATAGATACTCTTGTGTATTATTCATGTTAAGAAGGCACCGCATGTCAATGACACATGTCACTTTTAATTTATAATATCTTTTAATATATGATACTTGAATTTTAAATTATATTTTGAATCTTAATATTTTTTTTACGTTAATTTCAGCTTAAATTAAAATTAAAAATTTTCATCTCATTGTTTATTGAAGTTTGAATTCAAATTTTGAAAATTTCTTTCTTTCTCACTTTGAGTTTAATTCAATTTTAAACTTCTTCAATAAAGGTAGTAGAAAAAATAAAATTTTTAAATTTAATTAAATTGACACAAAATTTAAATTTTAAAATAAAATTTAATCAATATAAAATAAAAGTTTATTTTTAAATTTCAATTATAAATTACGGTCAAAGTGAAAATTAAGTAAAAGTTTAATTTTAATATTAAAAGGTAGTAGCACATCATAATCTCTCTCTTTTGCTCCGGACGTTACAAAGTTTGCTGCACATTAAAATTTTATACGTATTAAGTGTGTTGCTTTTAATATCTGAGTTTAAATCTATATTTTAATTACTCATTATTTTCATTTAATTTTATAGATTCAATTTTGAATTTAAGCTTTTATTTACAATGATTTGAATTTAAATTTAAATTAATATGAGAGAGAAACTAAAATTTTAATTTAAAATTAAAACTTTAAACAAAGGAAAGCAAGACTTTGAATTTCAATTACAAAATATGGTAAAAAAAATAAAACTTTAATGCTGAAAGGTACACGTCATAGTATTTTTCTTCCTTTTTATAGCACTAGAGTTTGAATTTTAAAAATTTAAAATTTAGTTATTCTTTGACTTTAACTTTTGATATTCAAATTGGAATTTAAATTTTCATTTAGAATGATTTAAATTTAAATTAAAAACTTAAAATTTTAATTTTAATTAATGTAAAAGAAATTAAAACATTAATGAATATAAAAAAAAATTAGTTATAAATTATTTTCAGAGTGAAAATAAATTAAAATATAAATTTTAATACTAAAATGTAGTAGTACATTATAACACTTTTTTTTTCTTTTGTTCCAGACCTTACAAAGCTTATCGCATCATAAAATTAGATATGTGGCATGTGTGTTATTTATTTTTTTATTATAGATTGAATTTAAATTTTGATGAGTCTTTGACTTAATTGGTTTAACTTTTCAGATTCAAGTTTGAAATCTAGTTTTTATATTATTACTACAATGTAAATTTTAATTAATGTAACAAAAAACTAAAACTTGGATTTTAAATAAAAACTCTAATGAATGTAAAAGAAAAAAAATATTAAACTTTACTTATAAATCATGGTCAGAGTAAAAAATAAACTAAATTTAGTTTTTTAAATTCAAACCTTAACTAAGAAGCCGTGTTCCTTTTCAGTATTGAAGTTTGAATTTAAAATTTAATTATTCTCTTGACTTTTGTTTAATTTTTCAAATTTAAATTTGAATTATAATTTTGTGTTATTATTTAAATTTAAATTATAATTAATGTGTAAAAAACTAAAACTTATATTTTAAATTAAACTTTAATTAATGTAAAAAAAGTATGAAATAAACTTAAAATTAATTTTTAAATTCAAACTTGAATACTAAAGAGTAGTAACACGTTACGATATTCCTTTTTCATTAGCTATAAACGTTACAAAGCTTAATACACGTTGAAATTTGACAAGGGCATGCCTATAATTTTTAAGAATCATGATTTGAATTTAAAATTTAATTATTCTTCAACTTTATTTATCTTTTGAGTTTTAAGTTTGAATTTTAATTTTATATTATTACTAAAGATTTAATTTAATTAATTATAAGCAAATAATTAATAAGAGAAATTAATATTTTAAGTCTAAATTAAAATTTAATTAATGAAAAAAACTAAAATTTGAATTTCAATTCTAATTTTTGGTCAAAGTGAAAAAAGAAGTAAATTTTAGATAAAAAAAATTTAATGCTAACAAGGTTGTAATACATTATAATAATTTATTTTTTTTGCTCTAAACGTTACAAAGATTGCCGTACATGCGAAAAGCTGCCTTATAATTTTTTTAAAATTAAAGATTGAATTTCAAATTCAGTTATTATTTAACTTTGTTGAATTTTTAAATTTAAATTTTATTTTTTATTTACATTGATTAAAATAGTCAACTTTATTTATTGAAATAAAATAAAATTATTGTTTGTATTTACATTGTTTCAAAATTAAAATTAAAAATCAAACTTTATAATGCCTCCAACCTGATTAAATTTTAAATTCAGCATTTAAATTTTGTTGTCATTTTGATTAAAGTTTAAATAATTTAATTTTTTAATTATAAATTTTGATCTATATTTTAAATTAAATTTCAAATAAATAAACTTTTACAATTATTTTAAAAATTTAAAGTTGAATCAAAACAATGAAAAAATAATTTTTTTTTAAAATACTAGTCAAAGTAAATTAAATTTTAAATGTTAATTCTAAAATTAAAAAGGAGAAATAATATACATTAAATTATGTTACATAATAAATTTTAACGTGTGAAATAAAAAATATATATATTGAAGTGTGACATGTGTGTTATTTTATATTTTTTATATGATTGGTTTTGTTTATTACTATAGTTATTTTTTAAATGATATTATTTTAGTTATTACTACTGTATTAAAAAAATTAATCTCATTGTTATATACATGATCAGCACCGTATGGCTTAAATAAATAAACTTGTTGTCTTGGAACTTAGATGTTCACTATTTGTACATCTTAGCAAATATATTTTATGATAAGTGGTCATTTTCAAAGCTGTAAAGAGATTTAAGAAAGAAAAATAAACATCATTATCTTTCAATATTAGTTTTTTTTTCTCATTAAATGAGATTTCATATTGACTCTATTAATAGAAAGTGAATTTAAGCTATTAGTCAAACAGTATGATACTTTGCTGAATAATAAGAAAGCATAAAAAAATATATTAGTATATTCTTATTATATTTCTCTGAGTGAATTTTTATAATGATAAAAAAAAGTTTAAAATACATTGCTATAAAAATTTGTCAGGCAATAAATATATTAAGGAATATTTGGCTCTCTCTATATTTTAAATTTATAATACTAATAATATAATATATTATACCGGTAAATGATTTCATTAACATAAAATGTTAATATATAATGTCAATACATAAAATTAGCACGTTATATTTAAGATAAAAAAAATTGAATATTGATTAGAGAAAAAGTGTACCAATAAAAAAGATCGTAAAATATAATAAATTTTCTTGATTGATAAGGTAATGCGTGAGAGCGTTGGCACTATAAGGTAGTAATAAGTAACTCTATTTGGTAGATATGGGATAGTGTGTAACACAAACCTGAATTGATAACATAGTTTGGCAAAATGCTTGGCTGGGTTTCTGCAAAGTCAACTTGAGATGTGCATCACTATAAAAATGATTATGATGGTCATAAATAAATCAAATGAAAATCTAGGTGCACTTGTTTTTGTTCCCTATAGCGTAGGTAGGTTCATGCATGGCCTTGTCCTCTATTTTATATTTTTGGGCCTAATAGCTACTAGCTAGTGCCTGGTGCCTGGTTGCAATGGCCACTGGGTTGTGTCCAATCTGGATCTCCCAAAGTCAACTTCGTTTCCACGTCAGGTGCCCTACTTGTCCTTATAACAATTAATTGTTTCATAAGGACTTTCTATCTGTTTAAATTCTTTATTCATTTCTAACAAAAATTAAACTTTATTGATTAAATGCAAATTTTATTAAACTTTTTTATTTTAAAATATAAATATTAAAAGATATAATGAAGATCCTTTGCAGGAAGGCAATGATTGATGGCGACGTGCTTTTCCACAAACATTCAGCTAGTGGAAGAAAGCTTGGCTATACCTTTTCCCATTTTCTACAATTCTTTTGTGTGATCGATGCCATTTCGGCATTTCCTACATTTAACTTGTGGGGAAATCAGAGCCACGTTTTCGTTTGGTTCAAAACCAAATATTTCTTTGATGGCGCCTGATTTTGATTTCAAAATCGCTTTATAAAAGGTTTCAAACAAACAAATCCTTCACGCGTGTTATTTTATAGTGAATGATTTTGAAATTTTCTCTGTTATATATTTATAATTCTTTCAATTATTGAAAAATAAATAAATTTTATTTCATATTTATTTATAAAATTATAAGAAAACACATGAGTGGATATTGCAATTTTTTTAATTATATTGGTCTTTTTCTTTATTCCTCGTTGCTTGATCTTCAGATGTGACCCTCCGTGTGGGAATCAGAAAATGGGTGAAACAGGGTTGCCACTTTAATTGGTTTGAAACAGGTTACCAGTTCCGTTTTAGATCTTTATTCAACCACTGCCTTTAACAAATGTTTTAGTGGGTTGTCAAACCATGACAGGTGCTGCAGATTTATCAGTTTTGTCAACATTATCGAATTCCCACTATACATGAGACTCACACTTGGTCAAACCAATTGATTGATTGAGACACACCATGATATAGCTTATGTACTTGGGAGTGATGAGGGAATGGCATCTGATGATGCTTCTATCCGTTTTAGTCAAAACTTTACCAATTGCCTTTTTGCCATTACAGAGTAAACTTTGTTTTCCATTCAAAGTATATTTAGAATATTAATTTCATTATTCAAATCTTCACCAATTTGATGCTGTAGATAATGTTTGACATAAAAATTGTTTATTTTTAATGTTAAACTACTATTTTAAAAGAACTGCGGGCTCCTGCAATGACATCCAACGGATGTAATATATACGTTCTACTATAAAGTTTTAAGTACGTTTACAAGTTTAATCAAACTTTAAAAAAAGTTAATATTACATAAATGGGTATACATGTAGATAAGAAGTATGTTATGGATCATGTTCAAGCTTTTAAATTGGTAAACGTGTTATACTCAGATTTTGCAATATCTGGAACAGAGACAAGTATTTATATGGAAAAAAATAAGGGATGAGTTATTACTTATTTGGGTACCTCCTGACTCGTTGTTTATAATTTATTGTCTTTCTCTTAAGACTAGATAAATGGACACCTATATAAATAAGAAGCACGTTACGATCAAGTCATGTTCAAACTTTCAACTTGGTAAATATGTTAGAATCGGGTTTTGTGATAGCTAGAGGCCTAACTCAACCCAGATATTTGCTCATACCAATTAATATCTATCAAACTCATAAATACCCTGAAGACATATCCATATAGATAAGAAGCAACAAAATTAGAGAAAAACATCTATATGCGAAATTAAAGGACAGAGTTATTATCTATTTCTTTGAAAATTTTAAAATAATGTTTTTTAAATATATTATCTATTATCAATTAAAATTATCTAGGACTTACAAAATATGAACTCATAAATAGTACTTGGTTAAGAGACAGAAACACTAAAATAGAGACACAGAAGTATGTTTATTATGTTTGACTAATGTCTCGCTGAAAATATAGAGACACTAATGTACCTCTCGAAAGAAGTGACACTAGTATTTCAGTTTTTAGAGATAAAGATAAAAAATTTTTGAAGACAAAAATGCATTTTATAATTTTTAAAAATTACATAAATTATCTTCATAATTTTTATATCCAAACACAAAATAAGACACAATACACGATATTCTGTTTTTACTTTTAAATATAATACACAAATATAAATATTAGTATCTCATTATCTCTGTTTTCTTGAAACACTACTATAGAGTAGACTTATGTAACCTTTTGATTTTTTTTTTTTGGTTGCGATAGAAAAAAATTCTCGAATTAGTATTTCTAAACTCAATTTTATGATTTTCTCAATTGAAAAGCACGAAAGACGATATGCAAGTAACAATTATAATTTTTTAAATTTAAAAATATTTGTGCAATGTATGAGAAAGGGAAAAAACAAATAATGAAGAGAAATTATAAAATTATCGTATACTGTATTCAAATGCGTTGTCTTCACTCAACTGTATAAACAAAAGGAAAAACAAAGTCTGCCTTTTAAACCAAATCCATTATTTTGCTTGCATCATTATTATTTCCTGTTTGCCCTGGATGCGAGTTTTATAAGATGATTTTGGCTATGTTTGACAAAGGAAAGAGATAATGTATTTAAATTACACCTAAATTTACTTAATTAAACTCATTGTGATCAATCGTCGATATCAAATATATCCCTTTCACGAGGTGCTTGTCATGTCAATTTAAAAACAGACTACACTAATTTAACACGATCAAGGGCAACGAGGTCAATGAAAGCTTTGCCAGGTGCCCATTTTTAATAATTTTGACAAAATGAGTTGATTTAATTCAATTTTTAAAATATATACTTATATTTTAAACTTTAGATTTAAGTAAATTTTGATGTTTTTAATTTATTTGAGTTCTTTTAATGAATAAAGGCTAATTTAATTTATTTGTGTATAATTTGAAACGGATTTTTGAGAGCTGAAGCGTGAAAGAAGAAAAGGGATAATTAAAACGTGAATTTACGAGAATTTTAGAAAGTTTATATTTTTTTTACATTAAAAAGTTTTAAACAATTTTAACTTATTATAAAAGATACGATCAAAAGTAAATTTAATTTAATTTTATTATAATCAAAATTATATTTTGGACTTCAAATATTTTAAAAAATATTATGTTTTATCTATTCTTTTAAACATATTTATATAAATTGTTCCTCAATTTTATATATTTTATTTGTTAACATTTTAATAATTTTTTTTTCATTTACTTAAAAAAATTTAAATTGACTGATATAATTTAATTTAGATATGCATAAAAAATATTTTCTATTACTTATTAATAATATAATATATTTTTAAAAATAAAAATATAAAGATATGGAAGTATATAAATAATACATTAATTTTATCGTATATCCACGAATCAAATTAGATATTACATAAATAGAAATAAATATTTAATTTATTAAGACTAATAAAAAGTAATCACATATCATGAATTTGAATTATATTTTAAGAATAATTATAGCAATAAATAGTCAAATTATATACTATATATTAAATAAATAAATATATCTACTTTATGAATAAATTATAAATATTTTGTAGCACAAATTTGATAATAATAATAATAATGTATAAAAAGAATTTAATAATTAAGAGAACATTAATATTTATTTTTTATAAATAGAATAAAAAGAAGTACAATTTAAAAATTAATAGAATAATTTTAAAAGTTTAGAAAATTAAATTCTTACGTTAATTTTTTTATTGACAAAACAACGATTTGAAAAAAAAAATGGCAGCTTTAGGCAGCTAATACCTCCCCCCAGCACGCAGCATTAATGACAGTAAATTGCGGCAACAAAAGGTTGACTTGCAAGCGTTATAGATTGCTACCATCCATTCTCTTTATTTACTTCCTTCTCCGTTCTAATTAGAAGCTTGAAACAAATATCAGAAAATATTTCAAGAGAAACAAAGAAATGAGACTCGGATCTGCTTCTTGGAGCTTCATCCTATGCACCCTACTTCTCTCTTTGGTAAGCTCCAGCTATGCAATTCAATCAAATTTAACGACTTTTTTATTTCATCCTACAGATCTTGAAAAATTTTACTTTATAGTCAAGCAAAACTCTGTTTGAAATTATTTTCGTGTTCGTTAGTTTAATCGCCCTTCTGATCTGAGAATGGTTTCCTTCCTCTTAAAATTTTAAACTTTATTATTCATCTGCCTCGTCCATGTTGCAGATTCTACAAGACAGTGGCGCTAGAGAGATATCAACAACATCAGGGAAATATGTTCAACTGAAGGAAGTATCCAATGATATGCAAAAGCTTGCAACAGAGGGTCTTGTACTTAACAATATTTTGCAGCTTGAAGGCGCTGCTGTAGAAATCAGTATGAAGCATGTGCATGAAGATGAAGATGATGACGATGATGATGATGATGATGATGAAGATGATGACGACGACGACGACGACGACGACGACGACAGGGTGAATAAAGGAAAGCGAGTTGATAAAGAAGAACACAAAAAGATAATTGGAAAGGATGTGCATGTGGATCACAATCACATGGACCTTGAACTGAATGTGTTTTTCACCCCAAGTGATTTAAAGGTTGGGAAAATAATGCCAATTTATTTTTCCAAGAAAAATTCTTCAACATCTCCAAAATTTCTGACCAGAGAAGAAGCTGAAGAGATTCCTTTCTCATCAAAACGGCTATCTTTCCTTCTCAAATTCTTCTCTATCTCAAAACACACTCCCCAAGCCAAGGCTATGAAATATACACTCAAACAATGTGAATTTGAATCCATGGAAGGAGAGACAAAGTTCTGTGCTACATCTTTAGAGTCTTTGTTTGATTTTGCTCGTTATATGTTCGGATCCAATGCGCAATTCAAAGTTTTGACCACTACCCATCTCACAAACTCCACAGCCCTTTTACAGAACTATACAATCTCAGAAGTGAAAGTAATTTCAGTTCCAAACATCATAGGATGTCACCCCATGCCTTACCCATATGCAGTTTTCTATTGCCACAGCCAAAAGAGTGACACAAAGGTGTATGAGGTGTTAGTTGAAGGTGAGAATGGAGGGCGAGTTCAAGCTGCAGCTATTTGTCACATGGACACTTCTAAGTGGGACAAGGATCACGTGTCCTTTCGGGTGCTCAATGTTAAGCCCGGAACCTCTCCAGTGTGTCACTTTTTCCCTCCTGATAATCTAGTTTGGGTGCCTTTGATTGGGGCTCCATAACAAGTTCCAAGTTCCTGATCAAGGTTGTTATGTTTGCCCATTAGTTCTAGGCCTTGTGTACTAGGAATTAGAAAAGCGCTTATTGGTGAAAAACCCATGTATCTATGTTAATAAAGATGTTATTTTGGTGTGTTTTAGTAATCTGAATCTAATGGTTATCTTGTGCATATGCTTATTTAATTAGTTATGGATGAAGCTTCAAAGTTGGGCTTGCTAACTAGAAAGTGTAGCGTGAGCGTGTATTAAGTGGCAAAGAACATATACATGATAACTATTAGTTTGTTACAAATTCCCGCTAGTTGAAATTGCCTTCCATTTCACAAGGGCTAAAGACGTAGATGCTTCAATTTTCAACAAATTAGAGCTGTGTGTGTTTTTGGTAGAACTTGGTTTGTGGCAATCTTTTTTGGGCCTGGATAATTCCCACTTCTGCTTGAAGTTTCCGAAGACAGTATCCGTTGCACAAGCTGTTGATTTAAGGTTACAATACACTTTTTTAGTTTCTTTAGCTACTCGAAAGGATCAACTCAGTTATGTGTAGTTATCATTAAAAGAAATAAAGATAAGATTCTTACAGTCATCTAAATTTTTAAATTTTAACCTTTAAAAACAGTTATACGAAGTAGAACACCTAAAAGTTTTAGTTTTAATGTAAAGTTATGTAATAAGTAAAGGTGAACTAAACATCAAACTCAAAATTAGTATTATCGGTGAAAATATAAATTATATTTGGTGCTCGTAAACTAAAATATATGCCAAATATAATCACATGATCTAAATTCAGTAAAATTTAATAATACAAAATATGTTATGTATAACATATCTTCTTATTGTCAAAAAATTTAGCTATTTAGTTATTTTCTTATCTAAGAAATATGCAAAAAATTGTCCACGCAAATATTTTTGTCTTAATTTATGGCTTTTTCCTTTTAACAATGTACTATATAGTATGCCCCTTACGATGCAGGAGGGAATAACCTTTTCATCAGTGCTCAATAAAAATTAACTATTAGATATAATAATAAAAACTTAAATGATTAAGAACAAATGCTTGCAACCTATTGAGCACAAGTTTTGGTATTACACAATGATCCTAATGTGAGTCCGCTTGTCAAGTTGTCTTCGCCGATGATCATTAGTGCCACCCACAAACTCATGTCTCCTCTGCCTCCCTTCGAATGCTAAATTATGTGTATTGTATAATGTTGGGCCCATTTCTCTAAGTTGGGACCATTTATTGTAGAAGCAATTGCTTATGTGATTCGCGTAAGTTATTCAATTATAATGATGATATTGCGTATGCAACTGCTGCACATGTGAAAACATAAATTATACAATTCTTCGCAGTGAAAATATAACAGATGTAATTCTTCACTGTTCACGCGAGGGAATTTGTGAGAGCTATTCAAAAATAAAAAGTTTCAGCAATTTTAATTATATATATATATATTATATTTAAATACAACTCACGAGATATACAATTAATAAATAATATAATTATATGTTATTTTAAAAAAAGTTTTTCATTGTTTTTATTTTTTTTGAATACATATATTCTGAAGCAACAATTTGCTTATTGTATTATTTATAAATGATTATAAACGTTATAATCTGCTTATTGTTTGTGTTAATATTGTGTGATTTTTATGGCTACATAAAAATAATATTGTATTTTTTTGTTGGTGTGTTTGATGAGAAAGAATTGTTCCATTCTATTATTTTAAAATATTGAAAGTGATTGTCAGTGTGTAATAAAGGAGATCTGATTACCCTTACTAATTGGTACTTAACTCATATTTCTACTTATTTAAAAACATAGGATAACTATGCTTATGTTTCTTTGTATTTTTCTTACTTTTTTAAGATATTAGATTATTTTTATTCTTTGTGTAAGGATTTTAAGTACTCCTTATACTCGTTTTAATAATATTTGTTTGTCTATAAAAGAAAAATTCAAAGACAAAAATTCATATGATGAAAACATTATTAATTTTACGCAAAAGCATGTTAATACTTATTAAATATTTTCATCACGGAAGGATAAAAGCTTTGAATATAAATATGTACCATTATATATGTTGATAAAAGTTCAAGTTTTAATTGTATGTAAAAATAATTGTAAAAATAATTGTTAAAAATTAAAAACAGATTATAACATATAAAATGAACGAATAAAATTTTTAAAAACTGTCATCTAAAATTAAAAATTATACAATTTATATATTCTGTAGTTAATTTTTTTATTAAAAAAATTATCATTTAAAAAATAATTTTTATTTTCTTGTTATAATATTTTGTAATTGATAAAAATAAAATACATTTCACTTCAATTCTAAACATTATTTTTTCATAATTTTTATAACTATATTAAATTATATTGACATTATTTAAAATAATTAAATTATTTTTATAATTTATTATTAATTATTATAATATTGTTCAACTTGTATTTGGTAGTTTTTTTTTTTATCTTTATACAAAATATTTATTTTTATCCCCTATGAAACACAATTTTTATGTTTTATTTTTATAATTGAGTTTTTTATAAAAATAAAAGATATTATATGTAAGAATTAAAATAAAAAATAAGTTTATAATAAAAGTATGTATATATTTTGTGGGTCTTGTGTGGGCATAAAGGTGGTGTAGCTATAGTTAGCTCCATTCCAATTCCTAACTGAAATTTGAAGTTTGAAACAATTGTTGTTAGGAGAAAAAAGGGCCAAAAGATATGCGGTGGGTTCGTAACTTCCTCCTACTTTTCTGGCCCTCTCTCAATGACCTTGTTTTTCAATTATTGGAGGTTAGATTCGCAGATGCAGTGCAATTACACAGGTAGGAGCTTATTAAGGAAGATGAAGAAGACACTGACATCGAGAGTGTTCATGTTTTTCAATGTCGATATCCTGCACGAATTCAAATGGACGAAATCGATTCAAACTTCTGTTACGATCATCTTCTTGGGTATGCATTGCCCATAGAGATGTACATGGAAACGATTTAATTATTACAATTATGATCATAAATTCATTCCCAACAAACATATCGTTTTGGTATGAATCTTATAAATGATCGATAATTACATCCACTTCTATGTATAATATTGAAATTTTAATTATTGAACAAAAATATTTTGACTTAAAAGATGTTTTGGTATCTCAAAATATATTGAATTTTAATTTTAGTTCTTATAAAAATATTTTATTATTTTAATTTTTATATTTTTAAAATTATTGATTTTTGTTTGCATAAAATTTGACATGTGACAATATTCAAGTTAACCATACTATTATTCTGGAAACAAAGCTAACAATTTAAAAAAATATAGACCAAAATAAAATTATGTTTAAAGACTAAAATCAAATTTTGAGAGATAAAAATATATTTAATTCAAACATTATTAAAAATAATCTGAAATTAAGGTATTTTATTATTATTTTGTTCTTTCTTTTAATTCAATCATAAAATTGAATTTAAATAATAATAACAATGCAATTTTATTAAGAGCAAAACAATTATCACACTTTTATAATTTTAATATAATGTATGTCTTTTTTTAATAAAAAATATTATTTTATAATATTTAAATTTAGTTTTAAAGGTCAAAGTTATAAAATTCTAAAATATTCATTATTATATTTTTAAATATATGTCCAATAACACATGTGAATAAATATTAAATATATTTTATTAAATACTTCAAAGTTATTGTAAAAAATATGTATTTTTTTAATGATTTTAAGATAATAAATATTTCATTTTTTAACATGTGTCTTTAAATACATATTAAAAATTTATTTTACTATTAATAATTAACAAAATATTATTTAAAACTTATAAATACTTATGTGTATAATCTACGGGTCTTGCTTATTACATGAGAGTATTTTTAGGTATTGATTTTCTTTTTATTTTAAATTTTGAAACTTTTATTTCCTTAAGTTAATTTTTTTTATAGATGAAAGTGAAAAAAAAAATTACAATTTCACATGTAGAACTTCCTTAGCATAAGTTTGAAGAAGTAATATAAGTTTATAAGAGGTAAAACTTGATTTTTAAAATTATAATATGGAAAAACTTAGCTAAATAATTTGATAGTTGTCTTCAGGATAGGTGTATTTGATGGTAATTTAACAATATTTTCTCAATCACTTTTCCATATTTTAAATAAGATTAACATACTTGTGTGAAAGGTATAATAAATTCAATTTTAAGACCTGAGTTGCATCATAACACAAAAATGTATGATATTTAAATTTTAAGATATTTTTAATCTCTAAGGTATGATAAATTTAATTTTTTTATATAATAAAAGTTTTTAATATAACAATTCTGATTTTATAACAATCCTAGATTAAAAAACGTACTTCTTTGGAAATGCGTACTTGACAATTACATCGTCACTCTTCCAACGGATGCAAAAATTGACCAGTCATATTTAGCAATTTAACTATAAAGTATTAGTATAGTACTTGAAATTCCTTTCTACTGCTCTCAAATTGTCAAGAAAGCTAATTCCTTAACAGGTAGAATTGTGTAGCTTTGCCTAATTTCCATGGCATGTAATAACTTAAAATTATATTTAGAAAAACTAGAAAGAATAAAAAAACTGAAGACTACTCGAGTCACTTGCTCCGAATTGAAAGAGAATGGGTGAAAAACTGCATGGTCAATCATAAACCAAAACGTGGAGGGAGTTGTTTCGTGCTTAGAAAAGAGAGTTAGTTTAGTTATCCGAAAATTTGGACATTTGCCGAATTCGAAGGGATTTTATTTCATTTACTGATCAGTTAAAGCATTTGAATTTTCATACTTGAGAGATATTTTGGCGTCTGTGTTGAATGAAGCTTATCCCTTCCAACAGACACTTCCTTAATGCATTAGCAGATATTAATAATCCTAACAACCAAATATATTTCTCCTATTTATATACTCCAAAGACTCCAATTTCTGTTGTTTCAATTCAAAAGCCAAATATCATATCTCTTTCTTTTCATTCTTTTCCAAGCAAACCCTAACCATGGATCACTCTTCAGGAAAAGAAAATGAGCGCAAGAAGTTGATGAGTTCAGAAAAAGAATTCGATTTTTTATCTCTTTCCCTACCCTTCAATCGACCCCAACCCCAACCAATACTCGCTCCGTGCGCATCAACTTTGACATCCATCGATCTCAACTCCGAACCAAAAGATGACTTAGACACCGTTACCGTTCCATCTCGTTCTCGTCCCAATCGCCGTCCTCCGTCTCAAGGGCCAGGCGAAGGAAAAAGCATGACCGTCCCTCCACCTTTCCCTTGGGCGACAAACCACCGAGCCACCGTGTACGACCGCACCCACCTCTTGAAAAACAATATTCGTACCATCACGGGAACGGTGCAGTGCAAGAGGTGCGATAAGAAGTTCGAGATGGGGTTTGATTTGGAGGAGAAATTCACTGCACTGGGCATCTTCATTCAGAAGAACAAAGCCACCATGCACGATAGGGCACCCAAGGTCTGGGTTGATCCCGTCTTACCCATGTGTCAGCATTGCGGGCAAGAAAATTGCGTAAAGCCCGTCCTTGGAAACACCAAGAAGAAGGCCATTAATTGGCTCTTCTTGCTGCTGGGTCAAATGCTCGGTTGCTGCACTCTAAATCAGTTGAAATATTTCTGCAAGCACACCAAAAACCATCGAACTGGTGCCAAAGATCGTGTTCTTTATTCTACCTATATGGGTCTCTTCAAGCAGCTTGCTCCTGAATGGTCTCTTTCATGATTTAGCCAAAAATAAATACAAGATATGTCTTGTTAGGTGCATGCATGCATGCTTCTTAGGTTTTTTTGGTTTAATTCACTTCTTTTATGATATCTACTGTTTCATTCTGGAATTTGCATGTTGGTTTAATTTCTATTTCAGATTATTAGGACGAAGGGTGTTTTGTTCTTGCTTTCAGTAATATTTTTTGGTACCCTTGTTTATATTTCTGAATAATAAAAGTAATTTACTGAAATAGCTGGCTTTATCTCACTGTTGCCACTTTACTGTTATCTGTTTGTTTCTTGCCGGTGTGTAAGTAAGTGTTTGTTTTTATAATTTTGGTCAATTCAAACTCTTTTCGTGTATCGCATGAAAACTCCTATAATGGCTCCGTTGTTAGTGCCTACTTGGCTTTTTAACTTGTGTAAATGTATATGCTTGGTAGATTGTCCATTTTTGGTTAAGTTTGGTGGCCAGGTTAGCTTGTGAACAGATGCTTGCATGTTTAGTTAAAATAGATTCTTTGTCAATAAAGTTAGTAAACTTACCCGTGTATAATTTAAAAAAAAAGGTAAAATCTAACTGTTACTATTAATTTTATATTAATATATAATAAAATTAGTAATTTAATTAAAAATATTAATATTTTTTAATATTTAAGATATTAGATGAATTAATTTTAATTTTGTATTAATAAATAATGGAGCAAATCAGTTATTTAAAAAAGATGTTAACATCCTCTAATATTTAAGATATTAAATGAATTACAACTCTTAATCTTAAAAAGTTATAATTTATCCACCTACAATAAGTGTTAAGTAAACTTTAATCTTATTCCTACATGATCTCACTTACTTCCTTTCTATCTATACGAGAGATGAAAAGACTTCAAAGTTTGATTCATACTTCACGTTCTAAGAAATATTTGGCTTCCGAAAAGAGAAAAAAATGGAATCCTTATAAAAAAAAATACCTTTCAACGAGATAGTGCTACCATGTTCCTTGACTAGACAGGTACAAATATATAAATTTTACATTTTTAAATAACTAAGTAATGACACACCTTTGAAAGGTGGACATATTTTGTAGTTGAAGTTTGCTTCAATGATAATCACTTCACTTTATGTCCGTCCGTTGTATTATACTATTGTATCTTTTATAATGGAGAGAATTTGATACTTTAACAATCATTACTAATTTTATGTTAATAAATAGTAAAATTGATAATTTAATTAAAAAATATATTAATACCTAAAATTACAATTTTTAGTGTACCAAATATATTTTTTTTATTTTTAAGAATATAAAATGTTTAAAATATTTTTTTAATCTTCAAGCATTATAAGAAAATACTCTTTTGTGGCGGTTAAATTTTATGATTAATGACTATTTTAACTGCTTCTAAATATTTTTTTCAGCAGTTAAAAAATTGACGATGTAAAGTTAGATTTATGATAATTTTAAACTGCTGCTAAGTTTAAAATTTATAGCAGTTATTTAGTGGCGTTAAAAAATGCTACTAAAATTTGAAATTTGAATTTTAGCATGATTGTGTTCTATTTTTGACTTTGCAATACTTAGTTTTTTGGTTTCACATTTTTTTCTGTTCTTATCTATACTTCGTTCTTTTTTTTTTTTTGTTATTTAGGTTCACAATTTATTTATTTTTTAATATCACAACATATATATTATATAATTTATAATATAGAGTCATTGGAGAAAAGTTATTTCTAGATGAAGTGAAATGGATAATAGAAGATTACTGAGGTTATAAGAGTTGGAAAAGATACTTTAACGGGTGGTAACAATAGTGGCAATGACAGAGAGGATAATGGAACTTAAAGAGACAAAGATAGAGATGAATAATAGCTTTGAGTAGGTGATAAAAAATGGATGAGAAGTGATGTTTCTTATATTCTATTATCTTAAATTGACGTTAAATTTCATGTTTTTTTTTGTGACAATATGCAAACTGCTGCTAAATTTCGTATTTTTTGCAGTAGTTACTAAAATCGACGTTAAATGTTATTTTTAAAATATTTTAGTAGCTATTATTATTAACTGTCATTAATAAATTGATGCTAAATGATGCATTTCTTACAGTGAAGGTACAATAAAAATTATCTTTATAATTTGAAATTAAAATAATTATATAAATAATATTATTAATACATTAACTTTAAATATATTTATTTAAAAATATAAATCCTATTATCTCATCCCTTTTAAAACTTATCCTTCCTAGACAATTCTTATGAGATGTGCCGTAATATTGCAATTTCGTTGAAAAAGATGAAGATGTTACGTATGATTTATGAAATAAAGCCATTTCAAAAGAAAAATAAATAAATTTATCGACAAAGTTTGTCGCTAGAAAAAAATATAGAAACGTATGAAGAAAGATGGTTCTATAAAGCAATTTTTAATAACTTTTAATGCTTTTATATTTCTATTTTAGATTTATTCTCTAAATTTATTTTATTCGTTCAATCATCTTATTAGTATTTTTTTGGCATAAAAACACATCTAGCACAAGTTCATATTTCATTTCATATACGTGTTAAAATAAAAGAGTGACCTTTATGAAAGGGTTGCAGTAGGAATTGAAGGGGTTCATATACGATTTCATTGAAAACTCTTCTATAAATACACTGTCGTGGGTCTAGCTAGACCCGACACATCTCTGTTGCAAGTTGCTGTAAGTTTTGTTATACCTTATTATTTGGGGGTGAAGTTATGAATCATTGTTTAAGATGTAATTTTATGATTTATAAACAAAAAAAAATTTAATAAATTTTAAATGTAAATATAATTAAAAAGGGCTTTCCAATGCTTTTCAGTTCATAAGTACTATAGATTTTATCTTTATGAAAATGGAATATCAAAATTAATAGTAATATTCTCACATATTTTTTATTTTTGTATTACAATCATCAATCACCTATTTTTCAATTATCTCTTTTTCCCTTACATTTATTTCACAAAATATCTTCAAAATTAAGCAAATACGTTTCACTAGAAAATGGAAATATTTAGTTTTATTGTACATAGTTTTAAAATAAGAAAAAAAAACTTGAAATTAATATATAAATAACATTGATAAAGTTTCATTTCATATGTTATAATGGTTGGAACCTATTTCAAAAGAAAGATGAAATAGTTAATTTTGATTTCCATTCTTATTCTTCTAAATTAAATAAAAGAAAATCATTTTTCCAGCCGGACATAGTATATTTGTAGCTTTTTCCCCCTTTATTAGATTCTCCCCCATTTTATTTAACTAACACTGGTTTTTATTTTTTTGTCCTTTTACGTTAAAACAAAGGTTGTGACATTATGGAAAAACAATGTCAAACATTACAATGGCTAGAATGCAAAAAGGGCACCCCAATTAATTAAATTATGAATAATAGGTTGAGATTTAACAACAATCTGATGAGCAGAAAGAGTTCATGAGTATAAATCAACAAAAAACAAAATTAGAAAAATAATATATTATAGCGATGTTTGAGGTGTACATGTTAAATTTAGTTTTTAAAAAAATATGTATCAGATCAGAAGAAAACAAAATTGTAATTTAGAATTGGGACACTAACTAATTTGGTAGAAGCTGATAATATCACTTTTTCTATACATATACACGTGTAAATGTGTAATTCAATTTTTTCATGATTTTTTAATTTTAAAGTTATAAACTACACATAATTTTTTAAAATTATCATTTCATATTTAAAAACTTTACTATCATGTATAACAATTGAAATTTTAAATATAACTTTTACACTTAAAATAAAATGTCTTTTATTTTTGTAAATTTAAAAATAATTCTCTCTCTCTCTCTCTCTCTATATATATATATATATATATATATATATATATTCGTTGACATTAAATTTACAATAGAATATAAGATTAACCAATTCAATCATTAACTCGTTTTTTTATTAGTATTATTATGTATAATAAATTTTTAAAAAATTGAATATTTATAAACTATTATTTAATATTTAATATTTATTTATATTTTAAATAAATAATACTTAATAAAATAAAGTAATGTAATAAAATATCTAAATTGTCAAATAATAAAATCCTCCAAAGTACCTTCGTTAAATAAATGTTTTTCCTGTTAATTTATAGTTGGGTGGGAAAAAAATATGTTAATTTGAAGGCATGCTTTGAGGCAGTCGCTGTGGGGAAGGGAAGGCTTTGATTGTTGGCCCATACACAGAGATTGAAGGAAATGCTCTGAAAACGACGTGCTTGCTCGGAGACTCGTGCTCAACAATATCCATGCTAAAATAACATAAACTGATTATCTGTTTTTAAGACTCTCTAGTTCTATAATGAGACAGTAACAGTTTATCATAAATTTACAATAAAATGTTACTTTTATTAAAAAATGAAATGTGATTTTCCAACATTAAAAATAACAAATGCTTAATATATTGCAATGATTTTTCTTTCTTATAAACAGTTAGAATGATATATTGCAATGATTTCATTGTTTTAATCGTTTATAAAAATAATCTGGATCAGTATTTTGTATTTTGAAGACAATATTTGATAATTCTTTCAAATTAATACTGGTAATATATGTCAAACTATATAATTTATAACACATGCCATTAAATAATCACAGTTTAAAGATAAACATGCTAGTAATAATCGCAATCTTTAGACGAAGCCTGGCTTTTGAAGATATTTTCTCACACACATATGAAAAGAGAGAGATTAGATAGATTTTTTATTATTATTTCTACAAAGATAAAATTAAAATTAAAAACATCACGTATGGAAAGTAAGATTTTAATTTAACTAAATAAACTCGCATAAATTATATAACTATTTGCAATATTCGTCAAATCATGTTTATTTTCATTTTAACATTAAAATCTACCTTAATTTTATAAATAATAAGAATTCATAAGTTTAACTTAAACCCTTTGTAAGAATAATCAATTCATTATTAATTAATATAATTTTTTATATATAATATTTAATATTAGTAATATATT